CTGAGCCAAAATCAGACGCTTAACCGACTGAGCCACCTAGGTGCCCCAAAATGAAATTTTCTTAAAAACAACCATATGGGGCACCTGGGTGGCTCAGTCTGTTGATCATCTGACTTCCACTCAGGTCATGATCTCAGTTCATGTGTTCGAGCCCTGCGTCGGTCTCTGTGCTGATAGCTCAGAGCCTGGAGCCTGCTTCTGATTCTGTGTCTCCCACTCTCTCTGCCCCTCCCCCACTAGCACTCTGTCTCTCTCTCCAAAATAAATAAACACTAAAAAAAAAGTGGCCTCTAAACTTCTCAGTAACATGTAATAACTAGTGAATATCATAACTATTACAATAGACTAGAGAAGTTGGTGTTTCCACCTAAGATGTGTCAATGGCATCCATCCAAAAACAGTGAATAACGCAGCTTCGGTAGCTGACCCAGCAGTGGGGGAGAACACATCATGGGGAGCCTTGAAGTCTCTCAGAACAGAGGGTGTTTTCTCTTACTGAGACACTTCTTGGTTTGGAATTTAATTACCGAATCTTTTGGGGCTTTGGTTTGGTGATTTGAGGGCGGGTCTAAGAAACTGGGGATTTGTGTTAGATTAGATATGATGACAGACTAGGGTCAATTCTATAACTGGGTGTGTCAAGTCTTTAGGGAGGGCTGAGTAGAATAGGATAAAGCTGTAATTGGTAAAGAGGTAGCAGTCATTCCTTCCAGCCCCTGAGAGGCGGTGTTTGGTATTTTGTGGGTGGCTCAGATAAATTGTGAAATGGTTTTGCTTTCTCTCATCTTCTCTCATCATTTCTCTCATCATTCTCTCATCTCTCAGTCTGAGTAAACTTGTCTGAGGCTGGGATTCTAGGAGATCGTTTATGTCCAACAGGAAAATAGTGTGGCTTGGCTGTAAGTGTCAGGCCAGCTTTCAACTATCCCGGGGTGATTTTTTAAGTTGTTTTTTAAAAATTTTTCCCTTTCTGAGGTACTAGTAGGGGAGGGAGAGAAATGTAAATAAATTCAAGAAGTATTTAACATACAAAGTCTATAGGACTGGATATGGGAGTAGAGGCAGCTCTCAAGGGTAATTCTAGGTTTCTGTCCTGCAAACAGAAAGGGTGCTAATTATTGAGGTAGTACCTGCTTTGCTTTATCTTCTAACTTAGTACTTAGCAAAAACATCTGAAAAGTTCGTGTTGTCATACCCATTTAGAGATGGGAAATTAAAGTTGTAGATGGTTTCCGTAATCACATCCACTGTCACATAGAAGCAGATTTCAAAAGTAAGGTTCATCTGACTCCAAAGTCATTGGCTTGTTTTAAAAATGGAGAGGGGCCACCTGGGTGGCTCAGTTGGTTGAGCATCTGACTTTGGCTCAGGTCACGATCTCACGGTTCGTGGGTTTGAGCCCTGCGTCGGGCTCTGTGCTGACAGCTCAGAGCCTGGAGCCTGCTTCAGATTCTGTGTCTCCCTTTCCCTCTGACCCTCCCCTGATCACTCTGTCTCTCTCTCTCTCAGAAATAAATGAAAAAACATTTAGGGGCGCCTGGGTGGCTTAGTCGGTTGAGCGTCCGACTTTCGCTTAGGTCATGATCTCGCGGTTTGTGGGTTCGAGCCCCGCGTCGGGCTCTGTGCTGACTGCCAGCTCAGAGCCTGGAGCCTGTTTCAGTCTGTNAGAAATAATAGGTTAGGTATGGCTACCCAAAATCACCACAAAATTGCATGGATATTTACAGTCTTGGGTTTTAGAATTAGGTCAAAGCCAGGAATCAAAATATATTATTATGTAATCTCCAAACACACTGGTTTTCAAAGGAAAGTCTCTAATAAATTATGCACTGCTTTAGCACTTTTAAAATATCTTTTGGGGGCGCCTGGGTGGCTTAGTCGGTTAAGCATCCGACTTTCTCTTAGGTCATGATCTCACGGTTCCGTGGGTTCGAGCCCCGCATCGGGCTCTGTGCTGACTGCCAGCTCAGAGCCTGGAGCCTGTTTCAGTCTGTGTCTCCCTCTCTCTCTGACCCTCCCCTGCTCACGCTGTCTCTCTCTCTCCTGGAAATAAGTAAAACATTAAAAAAAATTAAAAAAAAAAAAGAAAGAAATGAAAAAACATTTAAAAAAACTTAAAAATGGAGATAGAAGTCACATAATATTAAATTTTACATTTATAAATTCATTCCTCAATTCACACACAAATGCAAACTGTAGCCACTTTAAAAGGTACAATTTAGTGGTTTTGAGTACATTCAGAATGCCTTGCACCAGCACAACTATTGAATTCTAGAGCATTTTCATCATGCCACCAAGAAACGCCATATGTTTTCAGTAATTCTCATGCCCTTCTCCCTCCTGCCCCGACAACCACTCATCCTTCGGTCTCTGTGGGCTTTACCTGCTCAGACATTTCAGGGAGGCAGATGCGGACAACATGTGGCGTTCTGTGTCTGGCTTTCTTTCATTTGGTACAATGTTTTCAGGATTCGCCCATGTTGTAGCATGTATCAGGACTTCGTTCCTTTTTATGACTGAATAAAATACCATTGTATGCAAATACCACATTTGTTTATCCCCCCATCACCTGATGGACATTTGGTGATTCTACTTTTCTGTTACGAAGAATCCTGCCACTTACAAGTTTTTGTTTCAACATATGCTTTGAATCTCTCGGATGTAGGGGCACTTGGCTGGCTCAGTCAGTAGCTTGTGAGACTCTTGATCTCAGGGTCATGGGTTTGAGCCCCACGTGGGGTTTAGAGATTACTTATATACATTTTTTTTAAAAAACCTTCAATCTCTTGGATAAATACCTAGAAGTACAATTGCTGGGTCGTATGATAATTCTATATATTCTATTCTCTTTTGAGGAATCACCAAACTGTTTTCCATAGTGGCTGCACAGTTTTACGATTCTACCAGTTCATATATAGAAGTTCCAGTTTCTCCACATCCTTAGCAACAATTGTTATTACTGCTTCCGTTGTTGTTGATAACCATCCTAATGGTATGAGTGGTATATCTCATTGTGACTTTGATTTGAATTTCCCTAATGACTAAGAATGTTACTTCATGGCTAAGGAGTATCTCTTAGGTGCTTATTAACCGTTTGTATATATCATCTCTGGAGAAATGTCTTTTTGAGTCTTTTGGCCATTTTTAATTAGGTTGGTTTTTGTTATGAGTGATAAGGGTCATTTGTATATTCTAGACACTAGACTCACTATTTGTAAATATTTTCTCCCATTTTGCAAGCTGTCTTTTCCGTTCCTCACTACTGTCCTTTGATGCACAAAAGCATCTCATTTTAATGAAGTCCAATTTCTCTATTTTTTTTCCTTTTGTTGCTTGTCGTGTTGTCATATTTTAGAGACTGCTGTCATATCCAAGTTCAATGAAGATTTTCACCTATGTTTCCTTCTATTGGTTTTATAGTTTGTAGTTCTTACATGTAGGTAATGGATAAATTTTAACTTGCCACTATGACATGTGGTAAAGATCCAAAGTGTTCTTTTGCATATAGAAATCCATTGTCCTAGACAATCCATTGTCTCATTGTTGAAAGAGATTGTTCTCTCTCCTATCGACTGGCCCTGGCACCCATTTGTATTTGTGAAACAATACAATTGTGCATTCACCTTGTCCCTTGGATCTATTTATCTGCATTGCGAGAGCTGCCAGGTGAGCGCTGCTCCGTGAGACGGTTATTTTGAGTATTTTCCTCATAGTCAAGGTTAGTTGATACAGACAAATAGGCGCTCTCGGTGCCATGCTGGCTCCTTACATTTTGCTGTCTAAAACACGAACTAATTCTTTGTGATGCCAAACATGAATCTCTTTTTATCACACTCTCTTAAATAGTGAGCATTTCTGGGGCACCTGGGTGGCTCAGTCGGTTAAGCGCCCGACTTTGACTCAGGTCATGATCTCCTGCTTCATGAGCTCGAGCCCCGCATCGGGCTCTGTGCTGACAGCTTAGAGCCTGGAGCCTGCTTCACATTCTGTGTCTCCCTCTTTCTCTGCCCCTTCCCTGCTCACGCTCTGTCTCTGTCTCTCAAAAACAAATGTTTAAAAAATTCAAAATAAATAGTGAACGTTTCTTTTGAGAGAAGCCTCACATAAAGATGGAGACTGTTGGCCTGGCTGCCACCCCTCACATTAAGAGACCCATTGGAGAGAACAGGTGTTTCTTCTCAACACTGAGGCAACTCCTTCCCAGGTGTGACCTAATTACATGTGACATTTGTGGTTGTGGTGTCTGAACTATGGACTTCTTTAGTCCATCTGTGTTTCCAGATGTGTGACTTGAATCATCAGCTAACTTTCAGAGGTCCTCTTCAGCCCTCATTCATTTTAATCCTTTATTATAAAATAGCCTGAAGGTGACCATGCCTACCCCATACCAGGAAAGAAATTGTCGTACGTACAGACAGGAAAACATGCCTCAGACAATGAAAACATACAGCACATGCTTAGATATTAATGCTCTGAGAAGATGTTTTGGGGTTACAATCACCCAGATTCTTTCATTAGGTGGCTCTACATAGACCATGGATTGGTGGAAGTTTGTTCACTTGAAAGTGAACCCTGAAGAAAGAGTAGGAAAGCCTATCACGAATATCCTTGAAAACCCAGAATGAATAATAAAGGAAACTGATTATAAAAGTATTTGATCTTCTCACCATGGGGAGAAGGTATTTTACCTTTTGTTTCCTCCCAGCCTGAAAGAGAACAGAAAACTTTAATAGACGCGCTCCCAGGCCCTGCAATTCTATAATTTCCCAGTAGAGGGCGCTGTTGCACTAAAACTGCACAGGTTGCAACCGTTACCCTGTGGGCCTGTGCTCCTTGCCTTCTTTCGAGACGTTTTTGAAACAAGCCGTGTATATAAATATCTTTTTCTCTAAACTCTAAGAAAGTGAGAGTTGAAGAAAAACAGACTTCTTGAAAGATCGTCCTTTCACCCATTGTCTTCAGAGAGAGTTCATAGTATGTGACATTCTTGGAGGTTGATATCAAAGTCCCAAAGTACGAAAGGCATCTCGTAAGTCATCGACCTCATACAGGGGCTGTAGAGAAAGAGAGAAACTGAGCGGGTGGATTTGTAACATTTTGGAAGAAAGTAAGTTGGGGGGGAGGGGACGGGAAGAGGACACAGGAAGAGAAGAGGAAGGAATTCTACCAGGAGAAGACAGCTCTGAAGTCACTCTAACCAAGAGACTCAAATGACCAAAGAGGAGAAGGGAAAGGAAAACCGAAGCAGAAGAGCCAACTCAAAATGTAATGTTTCATCAGAAGACAAATAAGGAGTGATACTTACACACATATGTACACACGACAGTGTCAAACATAGAAGAAAGGAAAATATGAGTAGCTCCAGGAAAAGAGGACTTTGGAGAGAGAAAGGAAAGGAGAAGTTAAAGAAGCCCCTTACCAAAAGAATGCGTCGAAGCTGTCTGGACAGACGAACTGAATTTTCGTGCAACCCCTCCCAGGCTTTGAAAGTTTTTTCACGGTTTTCCACAAAAGTATTCCAGCAATAAAAGTAATCTTTAAAAAAGGAGGGAGATGGGGTTGAAGATAGCTCAGATCCCAAATCAAGAGGAAAGAAAGAAAACCCTGCTTCCCCCTTCACCCCCCCCCCTTAATTCTCCCCCCCCCCAAAGCCTAGTGTCCAAGCCCTGAATTCTAGTTGATAAGTTTTGGCTGGATCCCGCCCCCGATAGTTCTCATTCTGAACTGCAATCCGGAGACGGAGAAGCTGCCACACGGCGCCTGTGCAGCAGACACCCCCTTCGCACCTTTGAAGGTCATGATGGCGATCTGGACCCCAGCGCGGTGCAGCCGCCGCAGCCCCTCGGGCTCGGCCTTGCGGTCCTCGCAGAAGTAGAGGCGCGCGGTGAAGATCCGCAGTCTGAGGTTGGGGTACCCTCTCAGGAAGTCGGCCACGTGCCGGGCACAGTCGTAGCAGGGGCTCCAGGAGGTGAACCAGGTGACGCGGTAGCACCGGCCGGGGTCCAGGTCCCAGTCGGAGATGTAGCGCAGGAAGAGTAACTCCACGTGGCAGCCGTTCTGCGGAGAGAGCAGAGCACCTGGTGACCCTCCCGACCCTTCCTGCGTGCGGCTCTGTGGCCATTCGTGGCTACGCCTCCCTCGACAGTCTTTTAAGGGGGTGTCCGCAGTTTTGGCCTGAAGTTAACAGAACGTTTAGGTAACGCCCCAGAGGAACTGAGGGGCAAGTGCCGAGGCTCCAACCCTTCTGCAGCCTTGACCCTGCGGGTGGAGAAAGGCCATGGATTTTCTGGGGTTGGCCCTGCGAGTGGAGAAAGGCTATGGATTTTCTGGGGAACGGGGACGATGAGATGAGCCTGGCTGAGGTAGCATCCCACGGTCACTAGAGTTTTTTTAAGTTGTGCTTCTGAAGTCACTTTTTTGCGCCTCTGAGGAGAAAGAAGATGGCTTGGAAGTGTCTGTTACTTAACACTGTGGAAATAAACCAGACCGGGGGGGGGGTAAGGAAATATGGTTGGGGGGACTGAAGGGGCAAAACAGATTGGGGTAAGGCCCCCAGAGAGGGGTTGTAAGAGAGGTTATAGGCACTGCTGTGGATTAAGGACAATTAAATGTGTTTGTTTGCTCCTTGTATGATCCCTGCAATTGTAATAACAACCTCCCAATAATGAGATCTAGCAAGTCCGCCTCGCGTTGCAGAAAAGTCGTGAGTCCCAGAATTCTGATGATCTAGATTCCACTTCCTTGGCATCACCACTCCAGTGACTGAGACAACTTCCCCAACTCCTGGATCTTCTGATTCCTCACCAGTAAAGTAGGCTGGTGGGAGGATTAGATGAGAAAGAAATAAAGGGTTTGTAACTGCAAAGCCTTTCTGTGCTTGGAATGTGTCACATCAACAAAGAGATTAGAATGTAAAACAACTGTAGTGAGATAATTTACACAATACAAATGGAGGCAAAGGGGACTGAAGAGTAAAATAAACACTTCACAATGAGTCAGACAGTGTCCTTCCACCCATGGATTCTTCCCTGGGATTCCACTGAAGCCAGATGTCACTGCCTGTTATGAGACAGGAAATGATCATGGGCAGAAGCCTTTGTAAACCCCTCTGGATATGGTGAAGAAGTCTCTTGGGAGTGTAGTTCTCTGATCTTCTAGATGCCAGAGAGATTGATCGAATTAATCGACCAGTTGAAGCCTCCCTCAGTATTCTGGGCCTCATCATACTGAATGTACCCATTAGCCTATGATCCATGTGAGCAGGAGGGAATGGAAATTGGGTGGCAAGCAGGAGTGAGTCCTTATGAAGTTTTCCTAAATGTTTCTTCCTTAGTTTTCAAAAATTCTAAAGAGTTTGATTTTCACATTTAAAATTTAGCTTGAATGAGCTGATAATTCTCTCCCAAGTCAAAAGGCTCTTACATTCTATTTCTTCCTTAATCTCAAAGGCAATTCATTTGCGGGGAAAAGGGGAAGAAAGTTTTGGGGGGCAGTTAATTCTTGGCATTGAAGCAAGGTGTGGCAGTAATGTGCCCAGGATAATCGGGGAGAACAGTAAATGACAAGCTTTGGGGCATAACTGTTACAGTTTCATGGACTATTTTTTTAAGTTTATCTATTTATTTTGAGAGAGAACGTGCATGAGCACAAGTGGGGGAGGGACAGAGAGAAGGAGAGACAGAATTCCAAGCAGGCTCTGAGCCCTATGTGGGGCTCCAACTCCATAAACTATGAGATCATGACCTGAGCCGAGATCAAGAGTTGGACACTTAACTGACTAAGCTGCTCAGGCACCATGAGTTTCATGGACATTTAAAAAAGAAAAAGACTGGGGACCTGTGTGGCGCAGTTGGTTGAACCTCCAACTCTTGATCTTGGCTCAGGTCATGATCTCACAGGTCATAAGTTTGAGCCTCGTGTGGGTCTCTGTGCTAACAGTGCAGAGCCTGCTTGGGATCCTCTCTCCCTCTCTCTCTGCCCCTATCCTGCTTTCTCTCTCAAAATAGGTAAACAGAAATTTTAAGTGAAAGAAAAAAGAGAATTCTGAAGACCTAAATGTGAAACAAGCTGAAAAGGAGTACTATCAGCAGATGGTTCCAGAATTGCACAAAGTCTAGCTTTTAATTGCCTTGGAAGGAAATCACTGATACCTTGTTTCGAAGGTGACCGAAGTCCAATGAAAAGGAGGTGGCACTATCTCGCCGCTTCACCACGTAGCACAAGTAGGTCTCGTGGCGACCCTTAGCCCAGCGGACATTCTTGAAATGGTAAAGAAACTTCCTCTGCTTCATCAGGAGGCTGGGGGTGAGAGAGGGAGGAACATATAGGAGCACAGCTCATTCTCTGGTCACTCCTGGCTTTCCTTCAGCTTTTTAAAAAAAAGTCTGTAATGACTTGGGCCACACCAGAGAAGACTTCCTTGACCTCAGGATGCCTGAGACCCTACTGAACTTGGGATCCATTATAAACCCTTCTACGTGGTTAGCTTTAAGACCTACTGAGAGGTAGCCCGAGCCCCAAAACCATATGAACTCACAGGACAGGCTCCTCCCACAGACGTCTTTTAGCTGCTGACACCTTGGAATTATACACTTCTTCCTGGAGTTTCATAAGTATTTTCTCAGAGTTCCCCTCCAAACTCTACGTAAATGTCCAGTATGTACTTCAGACTCAACATGGTCAAAACAGGATTTCCGAGCGGCCTGCCATCCTGATAACCCTGTCTCTCCTTACTGTTCCATCTCACGTAACCGGGCTAAAAGCTTGGGATCACTGATTCTTTTCCTTCACGCCTCATGTTTAATTCATGATCTAAATAGATTGACTCAGTTCTCCAAATACTTCTCTTTTGTTTGTTTTTTAATATTTGTATTTAAGCCTCCAGACATTTCATGAGTTTGTATCTGCATCGTTCCCCCTGTTTTCTGCCAGAAGCCCTTGCCTTCTGTTACCCTGCTGTCCTGGACTGAGGTGCTCACTGCCCTCACACCCTCTGAAAGAACATTATCCATGTTGTGCGGAGTGACCTCACAAAACCCAGGCTTGACCAGGTCATTTCTGTGCTGAAAAGCTCCCAGGGAATCTCTTCTGCCCATAACTCTATTTTTTATTTTTATGTTTTGTTTCTGAGAGAGAGAGAGAGGGAGAGAGAGTGAGCGAGAGCGAGCAGGGGAGGGGCAGAGAGAGGGGTGGACAGAGAATCCAAAGCAGGTTCTGTGTTGACAACAGTGAGTCCGATGTGGGATTCGAACTCACGAACCTTGAGATCATGCCCTGAGCGGAAGTCTGAAGCTCAACTGACTGAGCCACCAAGGAGCCCCTGCCCACAAATTTTTAATGTGGTGTTTAGGACAGTTTTCACATTTGGTCATCAATCTACATCTCTAGCCTCCTTTCCTACTACTTTTTACCTTCCCTTCCCTACCTTCAAGTGCCTATGGTACTAGTGTGTTCCTGAGACCTTTTCTTTCCGGTCACTTTACAGACCCACTTCCCAGGGAATACTTTACTACCTTTTTCCATTGGACAAAACCGACGCGTCCTTCAAAGCCTAACCGCGGTTCAACTCTTTTTCTCGTTACCACCATCCCCAAATTTCTAGGTAAAAATCAAACACTAACAGCAACAAAAAACCCTCCTGGGGCGCCTGGGTGGCTCAAGGGGTTAAGCATCTGACTCTTGATTTTAACTCAGGTCATGATCTCAGGGTTTGTGGATTTGAGCCCCCCCATCAGGCTCTGCTGAGCCTACTTGGAATTCTCCCCCCCACCCTGTGCCCCACCCTCACCCCTGCGCATGTGTGCACTCTCTTTCAGAGTAAATAAACATTAACAAGAAAAGCCCTCCTGTAATTTCCCTTGGTTCTCCAGTTTATCCCTACCAAAACCCTCATCCTCTGTTACCAGTTGATCACTGACCTGTCTCCCCAATTAGACTTTATGTTTTGAGGCAGAAAAGTGTCACTTTATGAGAAAAAAAATTCTTTTTAACGTAAGAGTAATACTTGACTGTTAACTTGCATAATGCAAGAAGTTAAGTATTACATTTAAAAATATTAAAGAATTAAAATTTTAGAAATAAAAAATGTAAAATTGTTTACTATTTAGGATCATATCCAATGATAATTAGACATAGTATCTAATGACAATTACTGTTAAAGTTTTTTTGTTTTTGTAGTATTTTATAGTCATATTTACATATAGTCATATTTGATTATACTGATATACGCAATTTTGCATTCTGCTGCTTTATAAACCTGGCAATATCATCTAAACATTACACAATATTGCTCACATGCTGGGGCGGTTGCTTTTGTTTCTTTATTCCTAGCGCAGTGTTTTACTTGTCATAAGCACTGAATCGAATTGAATTTGTGGAAATACTCTCTGCTAACCTAAGTTTCTGGGCTTTTGTGGATGCAACACAAGCTGTATAGTACGGTCGATACCGAAGCACTAATGGTTTCTCTGGTTTTCGTTCTGAGTCTTTTCCAGAAATGTATTTATCAGGTTGTGGAGATAATGCTGCCACCTAGTGGTTCTGTGCAGAAGTGCAGTGAACTTGTAGGAGCCTCTGAAGTGGCTCAGTCCGTTGAGCGTCTGACTCTTGATTTCGGCTCTGGTCATGATCCCAGAGTCTTGGGATGGAGCCCTGAGTCAGGCTCTGTGCAGAGTGTGAAGCCTGCTTGGGATTGTCTCTTTATACCTCTACCCTTCTCGCCTGTCCTCTCTTTCTCTCTCGAATTAAAACAAAAAACTGCAGTAAACTTGTAAAAGCAAAGAACTAGGCAAGGATTTGAATACGGTTGGCTGGCAAGAGAATTGAAACTTATTTCACCTTTTTTTTTTTTTAACATTGAGGTGTAATTTACATACTTCACCCATTTAAAATGTACAGTTTTATGCATACCGACAGATGTAAACACCCAAAGCTCAGACCACAGCCAAGATACAGAACGTTTCCAGGGTACCCCTCCCCAGAGTTTCCACATTCACCTTGTGGGCGGTCAGTTTCTTCCCAGCTTTCCTAGGCAACCGCTCATCTGCTATCTGTAACCATACACCGCTAGCCGCTTCCTAGAATTCCATAGAAGTCCTACATTATCTCTTTGTGTCTGACTTGTTTCACTTTGAAATTCACTTGTAATGTTGCATGTACCAGTGCTTTGGTCCTTTGTTTTGCAAAGTAATATTCCATTGCACGGCTATAGCCCATTTATTCATTCACCTGTAGATGGACATGTGTTTTGTTTCCACTTTGAGGCTGTTGTGAATAAAGCTTTTACAAACATGTCCCAGTAAATGCGATGACCTATGTTGAGGATTAATTTTAACACAATACACGTGATAGATCCTGAATTTAGAAGTTAACTATCCAAGTGTCAACCTTATTACTTAGGTGAGTAAGGATGAGCTTTTTATAGCCATTTCAATTTAAATATCTCGCTTCACACACATGAAGCGTACTGAAATACACTTTAAATCCTGAGGCAGAGAAGTAGGTTTATCACCAGTATACACATTCTGTATATCAAACAATTTAAAAGTGGCTTAATCATATTATTTTAGAATTCAAATTGTCAGGCATCGGAAACAAATGCTAACAAAGATCTAATAATTATTGGCTTTATTTTAAAATAATTTATTATAGTAATCATCATAGCAGTTACCATCATTACTATTACTGTTGTTAGATAATTAGCGTGTAATAATCCTTAGCGAATATAAACTGAGTACAGGATGAGTGCTTAATTAATACTGAAGTAAAAGAGGAAAAAAAATCTGTCTTTGGGGCTCAAGTTCTTTTTTTTTAACATTTATTTATTTTTTAAAAAATTTTTAATGTTTTATTTATTTCTAGGAGAGAGAGAGAGACAGCGTGAGCAGGGGAGGGTCAGAGAGAGAGGGAGTCACAGACTGAAACAGGCTCCAGGCTCTGAGCTGGCAGTCAGCACAGAGCCCGACGCGGGGCTCGAACCCACGAACCGCGAGATCATGACCTAAGCGAAAGTCGGATGTTTAACCGACTAAGCCACCCAGGCGCCCCAACATTTATTTATTTTTGAAGAAGAGAGAGACAGAGCATAAGCAAGGGAGGGGCAGAGAGAGGAAGACATAGAATCTGAAACAGGCTCCAGGTTCTGAGCTGTCGGCACAGAGCTGAATGCAGGGCTTGAACTCACAAATCGCGAGATCATGTCCTGAGCCAGTGGGCAGCTTAACCGACTGAGCCACACAGCCGCCCCCCTCCCTTTCTTTTTCAAGAGAGAAAGAATGTGTATATGCATGTGAGTGGAAGCAGAGGAGGGACAGAGGCAGAGAGAATTTTGAGCAGGCTCTACTTGTGTAGAGCTGAGCTGGATGTGGGGCTCGATCCCACAACCGTGAGATCATGACTTGAGCCGACATCATGAGTTGGTCGCTGAACCGATTGAGCCACCCAGTTGCCCCATGGGGCTCAGTTTTAAACAGAGTAAGCATCATTTCTTACTGAAGACATTTCTTTAAACAGCTCATCTACCCTCCTGGGCTATACGGCTGAGAAAGGGGCAGACAGGCTACCACATCATACCCAGCAGGAGATAGTGTGGGGATCTGCCACCAGGAGGAAAGAAAGGTGTTCTGGAAAGAACATGATAGATGTAAAGGAATTCAGATAGACTTTTGCCTTCTGCCTCACGTGACAATACATCAGTCCATTACTGTTTCTGTCAGAAGTGATCCGTCACCATCAGCGAGTTGCTTGATTTGGACCCGCCAGTTAACTTTCTTGGTCCAGCACTTTCCTCCACCGGTAGCTAGGAGCCTGTTTCCAGTACCCTGTTCTCTTGGTTTCCCTTTTGGGTACAAAGGACTTTGTAGAGGTAGTCCTTCAAGGTCACGGGCTGACAGCTGCTCTGGACAGCTGTGTCCCCTGAGGCAGAACACTGCTGCCTCCCCAGCAATGCAAACCAGAGACAAACGGCTTAAAAATAATCCTGACGAAGTCCTGTGCCGTCACTAATGCTCTCTGCAGATCTTATTTTCCTTAATGATAATTATATATTTCCCTTTTACTCCTCTTGAATTTCATCTTTTCTCCTTTTTTGTCTTTGAATTGCAACTATTAATTTAATCATCACTTTGCATTTCATTATGTGCAAATATTTTCATTGGACCCTTTGCCTCTTTCTACCTCAGATTAATTTTCAAAATCTGATTGCAAACTGAGCAGACGTTTGACATTTTGCCCTCAAGAAAATTTACTGAAGAACATTTCATCTTCCATTAAAAACCTTAATTCTGGGTGCACCTGGCTGGCTCTGTCAATGAAACATGACTCATGATCTTGGGATTGTGAGTTCAACACCTACACTGGGTATAGAGATTACTTAAAATCTGTAAAAAAAAAAAAATTTGCTTTAAAAATCTTAATTTTGTAGGTTAAACTTTTTGGAAAAGAGTTAAATTGAGATAAAGTATGTGGATTGAATATGATCCTCATACATTTGTAGTAAGTAGGAATAAAATAAGTTATGTTATATTAAGTTATGATAATAACTTATCATAGGCTGCACGTGAAAACATTCTGAAAATCTTACAAAATACATTTAAGAAGTAAGTTAAGTGAAACTGAAAGACTATATATGTACGGGCACCTGGGTGACTCCGTTGGTTAAGCGTCCCACTCTTGGTTTTGGCTCAGGTCGTGATCTCATAGTTTGTGAGATCAAGCCCCACATTGGGCTCTGCACGGACAGTGTGGAGCCTGCTTAGAATTCTGTCTCTCCTCTCTCTGCCCCTCCCCTGCCCTCTCTCTTTCTCTCTCAAAAGAAATAAAATAAACTTAAAAAATAAAATAAAGACTAGGTAGGTAGTAAAAATGCCACTAGCTGCCTAACAATGAACATTAAATAACTTGCTTGACTGATTTTTTTCTCCCTGTAATAATAGGTACATGCCATCGTAGTGACTTTCACACCAGTAATTTTGAATATTGGCATTAAAATAATCTCCTGTAACTAAAGTTGTCAGTAAAGTCTCCCCAGTAAAGTTTACAAGCCCTTTTGTAGTTGAATACTGACAAAATTATTATGACAATTGCCACTACTGTTTTTAATAAGTACAGTGTTGCTATAACGTTTCATGAAATGAATCTCTAACTGCACTATGCATCTCAGGACAAGTCCATGTGTGGCATGTAGAAGTCCCTCTGAATATGGAAGAGAGACAGAGAACAGAGAGAAAAAGGTACACAACGTGTAAGATCTGAACAGATGTGACAGACGCAGAGAAGTAAATGTGCAGATTGACCAAGTGGTGAGTCAGAGTGTGAGAGGAGAGGAGAGAGCTACCAGTCTGCAAAGGCAGATTTGCTCTGAGGAAAAAGCCCGTGCAACCCCCCCACGCCCCCATGAGGAGCCGGCTTTACCTGTCCATTGTGGATTCCAGGGTGTCTTTCTTAGTCTCAGGCCAAGGAAGGCTTGCCTCAAGTCCTGCTGCCTCACTGGCTCTGCCTGGCAGTGCATTGGCCCCACACATTCAAATTTGAGCTTACCCTCTGAGGCCCCCCCCCCCCCCCCCCCCAAGGCATCATCACCTTCAGGTAGCCTTCCTCCCGTGTGGGTCCAAAAAAGGTAGGCGGGGCTGTCATTGGCAGAGTCGAGTGTGCAAAATGATTGAGGGCCACTCTGCTTAATGTACAGGTTCCCATAGGCCTGCAGCTGTAAAAGTTCAGTCTTTCCTCCACAGTTAACATCAGGAAACAGTAGCCATTGACACTTAGGAAATTGTAACCCTGGTGACCAATAACATCTTTAATTTTAAAAGCATAATAATAATAGTAATGTTCACTGAAATAGCATCTTGTTCTCAGTGAGCTGAAAGCATCTATTCCGTTGTTTAAGTAAACAGTATCTGAATCTCAGTAGAGAGCAGCACTAACACCTGCTTTGTGGCCAAGCAAGTCTATGTGGTCAGTCATGTAGGACTTAGGAATAGAAATGTGGCACCCTAAACCGCTGATTTTCCTTCCCTCCCTTTCTGACTGCATTACAAGAATTGCTAGAAGACTAGATGGCTGCACAAGAGTAAGTTTTGTAAAAGCTGTCTTTTTCCACAAGCCAGGTATTTTTGAAGTCGGAAGCAGCAGCATCCCAAAACATTAAAAAGTGTTTATTTCGTCAGACAGAATCAGCGTCCAAATGACTCCGTTGAACTTGGAGAACAGTTTGGGCTTTTCAGGCAAAAGGCTTTCAATTTCTGCCCTCGTGCAGTTTGGTCTATTAAAGATTTTGCTTCTCCCTCCCACCTCAGTGTGAATCCTTTCTATTTCTTTATTCAATAGACACTTACTTAATGCCTAACTGCATGAGAGAAGCTGCGTTGGGTGCTGGGGGTACAGTGAGGTTAAAGCAGCTGGGGCCTCTGCTCGCTTCCTGCCTCAAGGCTTTAACTACCATCTATGCATTGATTCCCAAGTCTATCACTCCAGCTTGGACCACTTCTTTGAACTTAAGACAGATGCAAACAGCTGCCTCCTCCGCATCCCCATTTAAATATTTGAGGGGCTGGGGCGCCTGGGTGGCTTAGTCGGTTAAGCGTCCGACTTTCGCTTAGGTCATGATCTCGCGGTTCGTGGGTTCGAGCCCCGCGTCGGGCTCTGTGCTGACTGCCAGCTCAGAGCCTGGAGCCTGTTTCAGTCTGTGACTCCCTCTCTCTCTGACCCTCCCCTGCTCACGCTGTCTTCCTCTCTCCTAGAAATAAATAAAAAACATTTAAAAAAAAAATATTTGAGGGGTGGGGCGCCTGGGTGGCTCAGTCTGTTAGGTGTTGGACTTCAGCTCAGGTCATGATCTCACAGTTTGTGGGTTTGAGCCCCGTGTCAGGCTCTGTGCTGACAGCTCAGAGCCTGGAGCCTGCTTCAGATTCTGTGTTTCCCCCTCTCTCTCCCTGCCTCTCTCCGGCTTGCTCTGTCTCTGCCTCTCTCAAAAATAAACATTAAATTAAAAAAATATATATCTGAGGGGCATCTCCAACATGCTCAGACTGAGCCCCTGTTTCTGTTTCAACACAGCTGGTCCTTGGCCATCTTCCCCACCCCCGTGACAGTGTCGTCCCTCCCACGGCCCAGGCCAGCCTGGCAGCCTTCCTTGATTGTTCTCTTCCTTTTAAAGTCCATTGCATTAGCAAGTCCTGTGACCTCTACTTGCAGAACAAATCCAGGAATGACCACTTCTCACCACCTCCAGGGCAAGCAACTTGGATTGCTGTCCCCCTCTGGTCTTCTGGCTTCCATGTCCTTCAATTACAGGTTATTCTCAGCATGGCAATCAGAGTAATCCTTTTGAAACACTTTATTTTATTTAAAAAATTTTTTTTAATGTTTTATTTACTTCTGAGAAAGATAGAGACAGCATGAGCAGAGGAGGGTCAGAGAGAGAGAGGGAGACACAGAATCTGAAGCAGGCTCCAGGCTCTGAGCTCACTGTCAGTGGGGCTCAAACTCTCGGACTGTGAGATCATGACCTGAGCTGAAGTTGGATGTTCAACCAACTGAGGCACCCAGGCGCCCCGTCTTAAAACCCTTTAGATCACAGTACTCGTCTGCCAAAGCTTTCCATGGTTCCCTATTCTCTCAGTAATAGGCAACACCCTTCCATGACTCACATGACCCCGTCCCATCTGCCTCTGCTTCACCTACAAATTATCACCTTTAGGGGCACCTGGCTGGCTCAGCTGAGACAACATACAACTCTTGATCTAGGGGTTGTAAGTGTGAGCCCTGCTTTGGGTGTAGAGATTATTTAAAAAGATGAAATCTTAAAATAAATAAATAATTGCTTTCAACTCTCTCCCTTGCTTATTCACAGAACACACACCCCCCCCCCCGCCCCTACATTTACACTTACTGGCCCCCCTGCCTGGAGTGCTCTTTCCCTGTCCATCATCATGGATTTTTAAAAAATTATGAATTAATTTTCATTATGGGTATTTTAAATTAAGTTTTTAAGTCTAGTATAGTTAACATACAATGTTATACTAGCTTCACGTGTTATGGTATTACAATTTGATTTCCTTGTTTATGTCTTTACTCAAATACCTCCTTATACTTCAGGCTTTTCCTAATGATTTCTATCGAAAATTTCAACTCTATCCCACTGTCCTTACATTTCCTTTCTCCTTTCTCTAATTTATATTCCTCTTTAGCAGTTGTCACTTAAGATATAGTGTGGTCTGTGTTCCTCATTGAATCTTAGGTCTATGAGCAGAGAGATTTTTGTGTTTATTTTTCCCCTCAAAGTGATATCCCTAGTACCTAGTACAATATTGGCATATAGTAGATGCTGAATGAATGTTGGATGAATGAATCAATAAGGATCTCATGGAACTTACATTCGAGTGGGAAAGACACATTAATCAAGTAACTGAATCTGTAAATATGTCATTGAAACTGTGATATTTGCTATGAGAGACAAGTACACATCAAATAACAAGAGACTGATCCGTCTGTGATCAGTGGGAGGATTCCTGGCTGGGAAATGGTAATAAATAGCCAATGTCTTAGCTCCCTTCTCAGGTTGAGATTTTTTGATGGTTGGGTTATGGAAGAAAGGAAATATTTGCCACTTCATCCTAACATTCCATTCCTTGACTCAGAACCTTTCTTTTTCTTTTTAAGTTTATTTATTTTTGAGGGAAAGAGAGAGAGCGTGCACAGGCTGAGGAGGGACAGAGAGAGAGAGGGAGAAAGAGACATTAGAATCCAAAGCAGGCTCCAGGCTTCGAGCTGTCAGCACAGTTCCTGACGTGGGGCTCAGACTCACGAGCCGTGAGATCATGACCTGAGCCAAAGTCAGATGCTTAACTGACTGAGCCACCCAGGCGTCCCCCAGAAACTTTCTAGTCACACCTTTTGTCAAACCATAGAAGTTTAGACTTTCCTATCTGTCCTATCCCCCCTCTTCACTCTAGTAAACCTGGAACATTAAGGGAAATTTCTGAAGTGGGCTAATTCAAATAACAGCTAATAGTTTTGAGTGCTTTTTATGGTTAGACATTACACTAAACCCTTTGAAGACAAAGTACACATAGTAGGCTCCTGAACTGTGCTCATGGTCCCTGATTCTATGGATTGCAAATTCAATTTTGCTTCACCATGGGTACCCAGCCACAGATGGCCCGATCGATGGCAGTGCACCCTCAAAGACTCTCAAAGGAGGGAGTGGATTTCATGTGAGCAAGCTTTGCTGAGCTTTACAATGCTCTCTCTCACTTGCCTCCAGTAGACCACACCGAAATATGGACCCACAGCAGACTGCACTGACTGCTGGAGAAATTTAAGATGACGACACATGAGAGAGAGGTCATATAAATTAATAGGTTAATTATGGCTTTTTATAGTTTAAGAAAGATTTTCAAAAGACTGAGGTCCTTCACGGGGGTCTGCTCATGACCACACCCCATTCCTAGTTTTGTTCTTGGGCATTCTAGTCCCCTCCTGCCCAAAAGCCTCGTCTTCTCACTTCCACAGGGAAACTCTGCCTTGTATTTCCCGGGATTATTCTCACCCATGGATCCATGTTTCTCTGGAGACATGTATTTCTCTAAATCTTTCTTTCTGGAAAAGATTCTCAGGGCACCAGAAAGACAGTAGATGATAGCCAGTCACCTTTAGCACTGAATTTGAAGGAATGGACGGCTGGGGAAAGGGGAAAGGAGACTCTAAATTCCTCTGCAGAGATCACGGTAGGGGCATGGTCATGGGTGATCTGATCCCTTTAAATTGTCTCCTCATATATGAACTGGGCCTTTACCATATTTTCATCCAGTTGTCCAGAGAGTAACATACACACATCCTCCAAGAAGATAAATATTAATTCTTAACAAAATGTTTTTATTTTTGAGAGGGAGAGACAGAGCATGAGCAGGGGAGGGTCAGACAGAGAGGAAGACACAGAATCTGAAGCAGGCTCCAGGCTCTGAGCTGTCAGCACAGAGCCCGACACGGGGCTCGAACTCACGAACCGCGAAGTCATGACCTGAGCTGAAGTCGGTCGCTTAACTGACTGAGCCACCCAGGCGCCCTGATAAATATTAATTCTTAGGGACAGTAGTATCACTAAATCCAAAAATATTTAAAAAATGTTCTAGCTGCCTGAATGATATTACAGTATGCACTCTTTTAGTTGCCTTAGTATATTCTCTCTTCAAATTACACCACTTTGGGACACCTGGGGGGCTCCATCAGTTAAGCTTCCCACCTCGGCTCAGGTCATGACCTCACTGTTCCTGAGTTCAAGCCCCACGTCAGGCTCTGTGCTGACAGCTCAGAGCCTGGAACTTGCTTCAGATTCTGGTCTCCCTCTCTCTCTGCCCCTCCCCTGCTCTGTCTCTCTCTGCCCCTCCCCTGCTCTGTCTCTCTCTGCCTCTCAAAAATATTTAAAAAGTTTTATAAAATTACTCCCCTTTGTTCAGCTGGAAATAAGAAAACCGGCCCGTTGCTGACCCACATGCCTCTTTGTTTGGTTTTGGTTTTGGTCTGTTTTTATTTTGTGCAATTCTGATTATTTCTAATTGTACAACTCAGTGGCCTAATTACGTTCTCAATGTTGCACAGCCATCACCACTGTCTTTCCAAATGTTTCCATCATCCCAAGAAGAAAGTTCTTAACCATTAAGCAATACGTCACCATTCCCTCCCCCTTGTAGGTCCTATGGTTTTTTGATTCGAGACATTCTCATACAATGCTTTTCCTTTTGTGTTTGGTTTATTTCGCTTTGTGTTTGTTTGTTTTTTTAAGTTTTTAATGTTTTATTCATTTTTGAAAGACAGTTAGAGACAGCGTGAGTAGGGGAGGGGCAGAGAGAGAGGGAGACACAGAATCTGAATCAGGCTCCAGGCTCTGAGCTGTCAGCATAGAGCCCTATGTGGGGCTCGAACCCATGAACCGTGTGATCATGACCTGAGCTGAAGTCAGACGCTTAACCGATTGAGCCACCCAGGCGCCCCAGGTTTATTTCACTTTGTATAACGTTTTCAAGATTCATCCATGTTATAGTATATATCAGAACTGCATTCCTTTTTATGGTTTATATTTATTTATAGCATTCCATTGTATGTATCTAGCACATTTTACTTATTCATTCTGTTGACAGACACTTGAGTTGTTTCCACACTTTGGTTATTGTGTTGCAGGGAAGATTTGTGTACAAGTGTGAGTCTTTGTTTTCAAAACTAGATGTGGAGTCACCTTCTGAATGACATTTCCTCTGAATGACGCACACATACACACGCATGTGCACACACACACACACACACACACACTTAAAAATTATGGGTGAAATTATGAAATTATAACTTTTTTAAAAAATATTTTTAAAATTTATTTTCTAGGAGAGAGAGAGACAGCGTGAGCAGGGGAGGGTCAGAGAGAGGGAGACACAGACTCTGAAACAGGCT